GCTCATTTAACCCAATGGAGCCTCATTTTCCTGCTCTGTGACATGGAAATAATATGTACCTGAGAATACTGTATGAAGCATTAGTAAGAATATTTGTGACTCACTTGGCACTGCACTGGGCCACTGAGTATGGGCTCAAAAACAATTATTTCCTTCCTTTTCCTCAGTATCATTTGCTGCTGAATAATATTATTATACACCCTTGTTCTCCTCAATTTCTTTTTGTTGGCCTCTATATGCCAAAAGAACTTTAACCTCTATGTCTTCCTTCTGTCTCTTCAAATCCCATGATCACATTTTAAAAAAATTACAGAATCCATAAGATTGATGGGACCTAACAGATCTCCCATTCAACCTGACCTTTGAAGCTGGAAATGCCATTTTTTAGGTCCCAGACTGACTCATTCTTTATGTTCTCATTCAAGTGTCACCTGTTAGGTGCCAGGGAGATACCAGATACTCAATAGATATTTGCTGGTTACTGGATAAAGTAATGAATGACGCTCTATGAACTCTGGCCCATTCTATTCTTCATTGAAATCTTACTTTTCTTTATGACTTACTATACATTTTCATCTTTCCATTAAAAAACCCTGTATCTCATATTTCTCCTTGATTCCTCTTTCACTTATCCAAGATAAGAATATATATACATATATGTATATATGAATTCACATATACGAATTATTATTAAATATGTTCATATTTTGAGATGAGATATTTTAAGTTTATATATTGCCAATCAACGTGACTGTAAGTTCCTTGAAGGAGAGATGAAAAGGACCATGATATCCCCTTCTTGGAACATCAGTGTCTAGGACAGTATGTTTCTCAGTAAATGTTGGATACTAGTGATCAATGCTGAAAAGTACCCATGAGTGTTGTTACTAAAGTACTAAGAATTGAAGATCCCCATGGTGTACTCCACTATCTCAGAAAGGATACAACAATTAGACAAGGAAGGTAAGGTCTTACTGGGATCCTGTGTTAGAGAAATCAACAGTCCTTTTCCTAGGGAAATGCCTGGCAGGCTTCATGTAAGAGGTTCTCCCAATAACCAAACACTCCACTCAAAGGTTATATTTACACAGCTCATTAGGAAAATTTTTTATACTTCTGACACTCATTAGACTCGTAATCGTCCACTGAAGCTACTCTATAACAAGAGATAAACACTCCATTCTAGAGGATGAATAATAATTAGGTACTGCTTAGCACTGTGCTCTTTACAGGTCTAATTTTAGAGCATAATTAATCCTGCTGAAGCTGCATAAGATAAGTGAAATATTTATGCAGCTGTGTTAATTCATGTATTTACTCCTAGAGAGACATTCAGAATTGGACATGGCTTTCCGGGAAGATTATCTTAAGACACCCCCTGGAGCACTGTCATTTTCTCTCCAATGTCTTTGCTTCCAGATGGTCTCTAAAGATGAAGCTGAGAAGACACGTTTCCCAATCCCTACAGTCTGACCAGGGAAGCAATGAATTTAGATGCTCTGCTAGTACAAGGAACACACTTCTGGCCTATCTGGATGCCTTTACTTTGTATTTTTTATTTGCCACAAAGAGGACATTTTGTGTTTGGCATCATAAGTGTTGTTTCCATGATACTCTTAGCACCAATACCCAATACAACACTAAATGAGCTATATTGAATACTGAAGTTGTAGATGGACAATGAGGAGGAGAACGAGTTGGAAAATGGTGAATGATGATCATGCTGGTGATAAAATGATGGTAGTGTTGGTGATGGTGGTGATGACCATGATGATGATGATGATGATGATGATGATGGTGGTGGTGGTGGTATTGGTTCTGATGGTAGTGGTAATGATGATGGTGATGATGGTAGAGGTGACGTGATGGTGATGAGGGTGGGGGTCGGGGTGGTGGTAATGGTGATGGTGGTGGTGGTGATGATGGTGGTGATGATGATGGTGATAGTGATGGTGATAGTGGTGGTGATGGTGATGATGGTAGTGATTATGATGGTGATGGTGGTGATAGTGATGATGATGATAGTCATGGTCATGATAATGATGATGGAAATGATAGTAATAGCTAGCATTTATTGAACCATTTCTATTTCCAGGTGCTGTGCTTAGCTAAGTTCTTTACATATATCCTCTCATTTCATCCTGACACCAACCTTATTAGGGAAATATTTCTGCATGCATTTATTCACAGATGAGTAAACAGAGGCTTAGAAAGATTACCCACTTCATAGAAGTATTTGTCAGTAGGACAATAGATTTAGTTCAGATATACACTAAATTACTCCTTCCTAAAGGATCTATAAATCTCAAGCACCTAATTAGCCAACTTCAATAGACATCCTAGGGAATTAAATGAAGCAGTTTTACATAATTGACCTGCTTCCAGAGCAAGGCCCCTGAAGTAGAAGCCCTACCACTTACTAGCTAGCCCTCTGAGCTTCTGTTTCCCCCTCTGTAAAATGTGTAGAAGCAACAAAAAATTTCATAAAGTCATTATGAATATTGAAGAACACAGGTAATGTATCCAATATGGTAACTGGCATATCCCACTCCCTAAATATGTTGCTGTTCCACAGCAGATGCTGCCAGAGTAACAGCAAGGAGTTAACAGTAGGAATAGAGTTAGAACTCACTTATTTGACAGCTATCCATCATATTTAAAAGTTTCCTATTGGGATCCCTGGGTGGCGCAGCGGTTTAGCGCCTGCCTTTGGCCCAGGGCGCGATCCTGGAGACCCGGGATCGAATCCCACATCGGGCTTCCGGTGCATGGAGCCTGCTTCTCCCTCTGCCTGTGTCTCTGCCTCTCTTTCTCTCATTCTATGTGACTATCATAAATAAATAAAAATTTAAAAAAAAGTTTCCTGTCAAATGAAATATATTTCAACAGTGACCATTCACCTGTGCATGTGTTTGTTCATTCATTCCTTCATTGACCAGTTATCGGGTCAGGATAAGCTCAAGATTTTGTGGTATTTACTGATGGAAACAAGACTCATTTGTTGAATATTCACCCTGTTAGGGGGACTTGGGAGACCAGTGTGGTAGGTGGAGGAAACGGTCGCAATTCTTACCCCCACCCTTCTCTGCGTCCACATCCCTTGTCATTTAACTCCAAATTCCTCCTGTAAAAGGCAGAGTATACCTCTGATCCCTTTACTCTGGCGTCGGCCATTTGACTTGCTTTACATGAAAGTGTGTTTGTAGATGTGAACAGGGCAAAGCAGAGTCTTGAAATGCACATGTACGATTAGGTATCCTCCTCTATGCCAGTGACATAAGCAAGAAAAGACCTTCTCCCAGGCGACTCTTACCCTCTTGGCCTGAGACCCAGAATAAACACATGCAGGGCAGACACCGCACATTTTAATCCATGGGTGCACAGCAGGGGACAGAGCCATCACGCCACCGCAGCCTGAGACAGAGCTCCTCCACCTCAACCTGCACTCCCATGAGCAAAATAAATGCAGAGCGGCGTATGCCTCTCAGATTTCACAGCCAGAGCTGACCGACACAGCCACAAATCACTGTTACACAATAGAGAAGGTGGTTCATGATCAGAAGAAGGTACAAATGCCCCATAGGGAATTTGGAGGATCAGATGTTCTTATTTGGGAGTTAAATATAAAACACATTTAGATGTTTTGATGGCACTTGGAGAATCCAGGGCTTAATTCTGGGAGCAGAGAGAGGAGAAGTTGCAAGGAGATAGGCACCTGGTTCATATTCACACCACACTGTGCACTAATGTCAGTGCACTTCAGTGTTGTGTTTGACCCACAGTGGTTGCCGGATTCTCCTCTCCCAGCTCTGGAGAGCTACGACTCTGCAACCATCTCTGAACATGGCCTCCAGCTGCCTTTGCATGCAGCTTCTGCCCTGGGCTTGAGCTTTTGTATCCCATTCACACTTACTCAAGTTCTCGGGATCAACCTGCCATTTCTGCTTTACCTTTCTCACTGTTGGGAATTCCAAAGGAAACCAACGTGCCTTTTGAGCCAGGACAGTATCCTAAAAACCATGTCATGGAACTCCATGCAATGAGATCAGCAACTGGGAAGTACAGAGGGCAGACTGAAGGCAATGCTGCTGGAGACACGGTCCACCCAAGCATCTATACTGCTCCCTAAATGCCATGGTCCCGTTAGACTGTAAACCCATGGGGGTGAAAACTGTCTTTTGGCATGAGAAGCAGGTAGGCTTTAGTGGAAACCCAAGGGATTTCTGCTCATGTTCCTTTTCTAGAGATTGCTTCTCCTTCACTCCTCCACTGGATAATATCAGGAGCCTCTGTGTTAGTACAACATGACCCCAACCCTTAGGCACTCCTGATGGGTCCAGGAAAAAGTCTTCGATTCAAAAAAGCACCAGAAATCCTTCCTCTGAAATTTGATATTTAGAATCTAGAGAGCAGAGATTAGGGCCAGAACCAAGTCATGTAACATCATGGTTCCTCTACCCCAGCGCTACTAACCTTTGAGGTCAGACAATTCTGTGTGCTGAGATGAGGGGGCCGTCCTGGGCATTGTATGATGTTTGCCAGCATCCCCAGCCTCTCCTCACTCGATGCCAGTAGCAAACAGCCTCCCAATCATGACAAACAAAGATGTCTCCAGACATAGCCAAGTGCCCCCTGGGGGGCAAAATTGCCCCCATTGAGAATCACTGCCTCAGTACAAGACCTATGAATTCCTGCTATTAATACTCCAATATTGCTCCGGTTCCTGTTTTATTTTTTTTCCTAAACCTATTTGCTCAACTCTTTCCTAAATTCACTGAGATAGACAGTTCTGCATCCTTAAAATAAATTTCTTTAGAAAATTTTGTTGTCTAAAATTGGTTTCCATTATAAGCAACCTAAAAAGCCATGGTATCGTGTGAGAGGCACCCAATAAATAGTGAGCAAACTCATCATATGAAAATCCATTGGAAAGCCAATCAGCAACAAGAGAGAGTGCAAGGGTGTCCAGGACCCTGAGAGGGGGTCACCCAAGGTCTTACCATCACCCACAAACTGGAGCAGGGCCAGGTCAATCTGCCTCTTCCACGGGGAGCCCTTCTGGAGGGCAATCCCATAACCAGTGGTGGCAAAGATGTACCCACTCCCAATGGTCACCAGCTTGCAGCCTTCATCCCTCCCAGCCTTGTAATTCAAGACTGCCGCATCGTAGATGAAAGCGTCCAGTTTCCTGCAATGACAAGAAAAACGGGGGGTCATGGGCATGACCAGGTACCGTTTTGGGGCCCAGCTCCCAAGGCCTGATCCAGCATCACACACTTCCTTTCACACTGTACAGGGTGACTCATGGCCACTCCATCCCCTCATCATAAAAGGATCTATTTTTAATGAGGAGATAAAAGCCAGAACCTTTTCTCTCCAAGTTACAAGAGGCAGCTAAATAAAGACATGAAGAATCCTTATGCCCAAGTGAGTAAACAGTTGAGTTTGCTGGTTTGCTAAGTGTTTGGCCTTAGCACTCCCAACAGTGGGGAACAGCGGCCTATTTAGAAAGGTTTGCATCAGACCAAAATAAACCATTAAGGTTCAGGAGATTTGGTGTAGGGTGCAGGAAAGCAGAATAAGTAAATAGGAATGATGTCCTACTTCCAAGGGACACATATTTATTATTTATATTACAAAAATTTTACATGATAATTTTTAGAAAATCAAATAATAAAGAAAATATAAAAAATGCAATTGACATTTAAATTGCCTGATAATTCCATAATTCAGAGGCAACCTCTGTTAACCCATTGGTGAATAGCCTTCCAAATTTCTTATGCGTGTGTGTGTGTATACATGCACGTGAGCAAATGTGCACACCCCTTTTAGAATAGGAGTTGGCAAACTTCTTCTGTAAAGACCAGATAAACAGTTTAAGGTTTATGGGCCATACAGTCTGTATCACAACTATTCAACTCTGTTGCTGTGGTCCCTCCACTCCCCAAATCCGTATGTCGAAGCCCTAACCCCCAGCACCTCAGAATATGATCTTATTTGGGAAAAGGCCATTGCAGATGTGATTAGCTAACATGAGATCACATGGGGGAAGGGTAGGCCCCCACCCCATATGCTGGGGTGTTCTCATAAACAAAGAAGGAAATCAGACCACAAACGCACAAACAGGGAGACCACCACCATGTGAAGGCTGTAGCTAAGACCCCTGCAAGCCACGCAACCACCAGAAGCAGGGAGAAGGACCGGAACAGATGCTACCCTCGTGCCTTCAGAGCAAGCACAGCCCTGCTAACACCTTAATCTCACACTTCCAGCCTTCCAGAACAGTGAGATTGAAAAGTCCCATTGTTTAAGCCTCTCCGTTTGTGGCACTTTGCTATGGTAGACCTACGCAGTGAATACACAGCACAAAAGCAGCCCTAAATAATACATAAATGAATGAATTCAGCTCTGTTCCATAAAAGGTTATTTACAAACACAGATTGGCCCATGGGCCACAGTGTGTCCTTGTTTCAACCCCTAAAGCTTATTTCAAATCACATGTGAATGTATCTCGATGCCAATAAACATAGAGCCTTTCCCCTTCATTGGTGTGCTTATTTTTATTAACCTGCAACACATCTGCAATAAGTGGCGAGGTAAATTTTTGCATGTGTGTCCATCCTGGAAATCACCATGCAGATCAAAACATCGAATGTTATCACCTCAGAAGTCTTGCATGACCCAGCCCAGTTCTCACCCCCAAAAGGCAAGTGTTGAATCATCCCTGGATGGCATGGCTGTGACTTATTCATTACCTAGTCCCTACCAGTGGACCTGAGGACTTGTTCTCAATTTTTAGAGTTATTTCACAAGGCTGGAGTGGTCACTCTTGTGCATGGGGATGGATGGCTCAAAACTAGGTAGGGATGGGGTGGGGATAAGCTAAAGTAGGTTGGAAAACTAAAACGGAGATTACTCAAAGTCCTGAGACTTTCTCAACGCTACTGCCTTTCTTTCTTTCTTTCTTTCTTTCTTTCTTTCTTTCTTTCTTTCTTTCTTTTTTTCTTTCTTTCTTTCTTTCTTTCTTTCTTTTCTTTCTCCTTCCTTCCTTTTTCTTTCTTTTCTTTTCTTTTTTCTTTTTTCTTTTCTTTCTTTTCTTTTCTTTTTCTTTCTTTCCCAAGAGCACATAAAACAGTGAAGCAAAGAAAAATAAAAATGGCAGAGAGAGGAGGTAAAATGTTGCATCCTTTCAGAGACAGCTGCCGAAGGCCTCCCGAAGGGAACAAAACTATTTGGAATGTTTGCGGCTGCATGCTTCGTTTTAATTTTTCTGTTTTTGTGATGGTGAGAGATAGGGCAAGACTACAAGGCTCATCTCACCAACACAAAGACTCTAAAGCCTTTCTCCCAAGGCTGTAGGATTGGAGGTTTGGTGTTATGCTTAGAGAGTATTAAAAGGAGATCAGATCATCCAAGCGGAAGGGGAAGGAAATGAAGCATTGTTAATGGTGATGGTAAACCAGAGCTGACGAACCAAGAGGAAACAGCCTTCTGGACAGCCAGCAACATTGAGAGCTTTGGAAATACGGAATGGGGAGTTAAAAGTAATTTGTATGTGATGGCAGGGGCTGTGTGATAGGAGCAGTTAGGAGGGGATCTGGTTTCTACTCTAGATTTGGATGGTGACAGGACCTCAGGAAAGTCCCTTCCTTTGGATTGTGGGTTCCTCATCTGTGACATGAGGTGGTCACTTTGGGCCTGTTGAGACACTCATCCAGCCATGGCATTTTGATTCCTCAAGCCAATAGTCACCTTCTGTGACTATTGACAAGGACACTGAGACACTAGATGACGAGTATCCTGAAGGCTTCAGGCCATGGATGGTATCTGTCCTCTTGATGAAGCTGGGGTGTTTGCAACGTCAATACCTAAACATATCAGTGTTGCCATGGAGATGCCAGGAGCCCGGGTTTTACTGAGCCCTTCACACCTTCTTCTCTTCATTGCTTAAAAAATAAACAAATACACACATACCTGTGCACAGAGGCATTCAAATATTAAGGCCATCTGTTTGTATTCGTGTGGTAAAATCTTTCCCTGTCCTGCTAACCCACCACACACTGATGCACTTCTGGGGTGGAATTCTAAAACTGCACCTGGCAACCACACAAAAGTCACCCAACGGCAGCTTAAATCAGTATTTATGGACAGGCACAGATTTCTGCAAATCATTACCATATTTCATGACAAAATACTCTTTAGCTGAGAAACAGCCAGATGAGCAGAAAGAAAACAGGAAGTTTTCTCAGGCAACAAAGTTTACAAAAGTAAGATGCTGGCAAGTCAGAGGGAGGACAGTCACAAAAGATGTGAGTGAAGCAATTACACAGCGGCGTGCCTGGGGTGGGCTGGTGGCCACAGTGGGCCTGCCTTTCATGGGCTGACTGTGGTCTCGGGGCCACATCGGAACCAAAATGAGGATAGCACATGAGGAGAGCTGCAGAGTACGTGATGTTGGTTTCTCTTCCTCATCAATGATTCTAGAGAGCTGGGGTCTAAATGCAGTGGTCAGAGATGCCTGCATTTTACAAACATCCAGGGGTGGGACGCCTGGGTGGCTCAATGGTTGAGCATCTGCCTTTGGCTCAGGTCATGATCCCAGGGTCCTAGGATCGAGTCCTGCCTTCCCAGGGGGTACCTGCTTCTCCCTCTGCCTGTGTCTCTGCTCCTCTCTCTGTGTCTCTCGTGAATAAAATCTTAAAAAGAATAATAAAAAAATAAAAACATCCTGGGGCTTGCAGAGCCCCCTCTGATAGACAGGGCTTGTTTGCACAGTGCTTTACAAAAGCAAGTCCAGTGGAAAGATACACAATTATTATTATTATTTTCCTATGTTGTCTCTGAGCGGAGGAGGCTCCACGAAGCAGCCTGAAGCTCATCAGTATTATTTCTAAGTTCTGTATTGCAAACTCTCTATGACAGCGCTGTCTAGTATAGCTTGCTTGCTGAAAGAAATGCTATAGATCTACGCTAATACAGCTATCATGCGCTTGAAATGTGGTTAGTGCGAACAGGGAACTGAGTTTTTAATTTTATTTCATTGCATTAATTTTGATTCTGACATAAATGGTCACGCATGGCTGGTGGCTCTTCCAGTGGACAGCAGAGCTGTAAGCGGGCAGGGGAAAGCTCGGGGAGCAAGGCTCTGGGTTCCATCCTCGCTCTGACTCAAAACGGTCTACTTGCTCTCTTTTCCATTGAAAGAAAAATGTTCCCATTGTTAAAAAGGAAAAACTAAGACTGGCTGATGTCTTCAAGAGTGCACTCTGTTGGTCAAAGGCTTGGAGCAAGGGGCCCGTGTTTCCAAGCCCCAGTCTCCTCTCTGTAAAGCAGGGCATACGATCTCTGCCCTCAGAGGGCTTTGAGAGTAAAGAGAAGGTAGGTAAGTGTGCACGATGCCTGGCACAAAACAAATGCTCAAAACATATGGGTGCATTCAATCAAATTTGGAATTTATGGCAATGCTTATGGCATTTCCCACACCATTCTATGCATCCTCTGTGACAGATCCAGTCCTGGATACTTTACATGCATTATCTCAACCCGTTGACTCCTACCAGCACAAGGATGAATGTGCTACTGCCCATCCCCACTGCCGGATGACGAAACTGAGTCACTAAGAGGTCAGGTGACTCAATGCCACCACCCAGCTTCCAGGTGTCACCGCAGCATTTGGACTTCCACAGTCTGATGTTAGAGGCCGCAGACATAACCGCTGTGACCATGATGTCCATGACACTTGTGGCATAAACAAAGGCAACTCTGTCTATTGCTGGTGAAATTCAGACGGTGGTTAGAGCTCTAAGTCAAGCCTGGTGTAATGGAAACAGCAGCCAGGATGAGAGCTGAGCAGCCGGGTTTAAAGAGCTTTGATGGGTAGCTCAGCTTCATTTGTCTCTTTCCCAACAGGTGCACAGCCACATAAGGGCCAGAGTCACCCCCGCAGAAACCTTCTCTTGCCCCCAGCACAGCCTACGCCTGCCTTCTGGAGACATTTAGGCCTAGAAAGCCATAGCTCCTTGTGAGGGTAGAGGGTAAGGAAGAGGAAAGCCACCCGAAACTGAAGCCCAATTTAGGCCACAAGCATCTGGGGGACTGGAGCTGAGGTCATGGGAGACATGATGCATCAGGCTGCAGCCTGGTAATTGGCAGCCCCCCGGTCTGGAGGAACACAGATTAAAGGCTGGC